GGTGTTATTCACATGGCGGTTAAAAATGAGAAGATTTTCAGAATAAATTCAATAAAATGTATGTACTATATTTTAGTTTGAGGATTTTATTTCATATTTTGTATTTTAGGGGATTTTATTATATTTATGGAATAGTTATTATGATATATTTATTACCTGTTAACCACTTTTTGAGCATAGACCTTAACCTGTCAAATCTTGAACGCTTTGGAGCACAGACTTAAATTTGGTCTCTTTTTAAAGAAGACACTTGGATTATTGCTGAAAAGTGAAAAAAGTTTAAAAAGCAAAACAAAAAAGTTTTAGAAGTTTAAGTTACACAAAAATAATATTTTAAACTTTTATATGAAATATATATTTTCCAAAAGACATTTTACTCAACAAAATCAAAGCCCTAAATCTAAACAAGTTATGTTCCAAATTTGAGGTTGATATCTCAAAAAATGAGTTTTCAGTAAGATTTTGTTTGGGCGCAGTACTAAACGCTTGCACTAGATGAAATTAGCTTCCCATTCATCTCCAATGCGAACAAAACAAGTGTAACCATTTTTTTCAGCGCCATTTAACCTTTTCAAATCATGTCCATGTTTCATACCATTCTGATGAAGTAAAAAATTATAAAAAATATAAAAAATTACCAAACAACACCCAGAGGGTTAAATGGAAACACATGCACTCAACTGCATATCCAAAATTGTATGGATATCTATGTGGTGACTCATTCTCATCAGGTTCTTAATATAAGATAAAAATAAATGCATCAGCTGAACACTCCACGCAGACATGAGAGACTTTCAGCACTTTTAGATTTTAATTAGGACATTATTTGGTCTATTTCTATCTCTTCTGAATGCAATTAGAGCACTTTCATCCCAACAATGATAGCAAAATTTGTACCCGCAAACGTACCATTATCTTGCAGAAGGATTTGTACTCCAGATAAGTCAGATGTTCAGCAAGCTCGCAGGGGTCCAGGTGATCAAACAAAAGAGACATTTTTCTCCTTTTTGACATCGATGGAACTCTTTGGGTAACCTGTCGTTTCCATTTATACGAGGGCCTGCAGCGGAAAAATATGCTATTTCAGATAGGACTAATGTTGTTATTCTTGGCAGTTGTCTAACATGCTGAAATCTGACAGTGCTGCATAAGGACGTTTCTTGGAAAAAAACATCAACTACTCAACCTCATTTTATCTGAATTTATTGTTCAACTCGTGGTTTTGATTTTTGTACATTTGAAAATGCAGAAGTGTAAATAAGATTTGAGAGCTACGTTCTTAAAAAATAAAGGTACTTTTTTGGCATACATGGTTCCAAGAAGAGTCTTTAACATCCATGGAATCTTTTCATTCCACAAAAGGTTCTTTATACACCCTTAAAAAAAATAAAGGTTCCAAAAGGGGGTTTTCACAGTGATGTCATAGAAGAACCATTTTGGTTTCTCCAAAGAACCTTTCAGTGAACAGTTCTTAAAAGAACCGTTTTTTCTTAGTGTGAAGAACATTTTAATGATCTGAAGAAATTTTTTCCACTATAAAGAAACTTTTGTGCAATGGAAAGGTTCCATGGATGTTAAAGGTTCTTCGTGGAACCATAGATGCCAATAAAAAATATACATGTTTTGAACAGCAGTGCGAATAAAGCCTCGTACACACCGGGACGTTTATCGCGCGCGCTTATCGCCAACGTTTTTCCGACATCCTATTTGATCTGCAATTCCTCTCCATAACAACTCCCTCTTATCGAGATTTGTGTAGTCGCTGTCGCGTTTGTCATAAAGCCCTTTGTGTTCAGACACCAAAGAGACCAGCAGCTCTACATTCATCTTGCCTCGATGCATCTTGGTCTTCTTACTTCCTCTTCGTCGTTAGGTATCTGTGACTATGTTTACATGGACATCAGTAATCTAATTATTTACCTAATTCTGAATAAGTCAATATTACGATTAAGGTGTTTACATGAGTTGCTTTTAGAATATTCCTTTCATGTTCCCGTTTTACATGTTATAGTACATAGATCGATTAATGGCACACGTCATTACATCACCACGCAACACCATCCGACGTCCCCTCCAGAGTTTCACGTATAAACATATAGTTCGTCTTCGTGATGATGCCATATACAGTTTTGGGTGTTTCAAGTGCAGTTAATTATTTGTTATGCTATACATGCTAACAGACTACGGCGTTGTTGAAGCCATTCTTTAGTTTGCCGTCAAACGGTTGAGCACTGCCGTGTGTGTATCCTGTCGCAAAATGCGGTGAAAAGTCTTACACAATGGTAATAATGTGATTAAGGTGTTTACATGTCTTTACTGCACTTCAATAATGCGACTAAAATAGGAATACTCCACATGTCTTAATCCGATTTCTGTTTATTTCGATTATGACTTTAGCCGGATTAAGGTAATCAAAAATCTCTGTTTACATGGTAGATTCTTAATCAGAGTATTGTCTTAATCGTGTTAAAATCGGAATATTGTTGTCCATGTAAACGTACTCACTGAAAGCTTCAAGTGCAGTTAATTATTTGTCATGCTATACGTGCAAACAGACGACAGCGTTGTTGAAGCCATTCTTTTGTTTGCCGTCAAACGGTTGACCACTGCCGTGTGTGTATCCTGTTGCAAAATGCGGCGAAAAGTCCTACGCGACGGTAATAATGTGATTAAGGTGTTTACATATCTATTCTGCACTTAAGTAATGCGACTAAAATAGGAATACTCCACATGTCTTAATTCGATTAGTGTTTACTTCGATTATGACTTTAGCCGGATTAAGGTAATCAAAAATCTCTGTTTACATGGTAGATTCTTAATCAGAGTATTGTCCTAATCGTATTAAAATCGGAGTATTGTTGTCCATGTAAACGTATTGAATGTGTGCTCGGCAAGACCGTTTTGTGCTTGAGCGCCACCAAGTCATGTTTTACTGTAACTTCAGCAGCTCCAGGCACGTGAACAAAAGCGCCAATCTCATTGTCCGGCCAGTTTTTAACGCGGCGCGTCAAACCAAAAAAACAAGCCCAAGGTGTTTTTTAAAAAATTACGCTTTTACGCCTCGCGTTTTGC